CACAGCATAAGACCTGAATCTGCTGCTGGAGCTGGCAAAAAAAAAAGGGGATTGTGAGAAGTGATATTTTATGTTTAGTCAACAGTACAGATGTGGTAATAAGCATGGAATACAAAGAGCCACTTTCAGGTCAGATTCCCAAAGCTGAGTGAGGAATGCTGTCACCTACAGTGGTTTTCTGGGAAGGATGTTGGAGTTTTCCAGAATTGTAGTGGATGGAGGTGAGTGAGGCCTCCTTGTCTACTACCAGTGAACAGGAATTGCACTTTGGAAACTCCAGGTGTGGCACAAGCAGATAAAGGTTTTATACAGTGTAGTGAGTCAAGTCAATGTTTGCAAAATTTCTAAACTGTGTGGATTTTTTTTCTCTTCCCTCATAGGGCAAAATCAGTTCATGGAGTTCCCCAGCTCCATTGATACCAGGTAACTGAATTCCTGTTACTGTGTAGCAGACCAGACTCTGGGCGTTACTTTAGACCACTCCAGGTCTTTCTGCGTTGAATGGAATGTCTGCCTGCCTGCTTCAAAACTTACTAAATCAATGTTGTAGTTTTAACAAAGTACATCTTTTATTGTAACATTAAAACATATTTTTCCCTTTGTTTCTATTAAACTAACTTATAGTATAAATTGTTTCTTCTAAAAAAAAATACTTAAATCCTCCTTCTTTATTGATGTTTCTTTTATCTTAATACTGCTGCATTAATATCTCTTTACTGAGTATTTACAAAAGAGGGAGATTTATTTTTAACCTAATAGTATAAATTGCAGATGAATGGAGCAAGGCTTCCAAGAGGACTTCACTCTAGTCTTTGGCCCTTGGAATTTCGAGTAAACAACCAAAATTCAAGGAGAAGTGTGTCCCTGCTGTTTGCAGTTTTGTGAAGGTTTTGACTCTTGCATATAAAAGGAGATTATTGGGTGCATTCTTCAACATGCATTGTGGTAGATAAAAGAAGAGAATACAACCAGATGGCTCATAAGTGAGTGAAAATATTATTCAAAAAAGTGCTAAATAAAAATACAGTGATTGAGAAATCTTGGTTTTCAAGGCGCTGCATATTGGTTAACATCTGGAGGCATATAAGGCTCAGGGCAGCCATTTCACAGCGACTTCTGCTGTTTCCTGTGGCTGGAAGTCATTTTGAGATTCAGTTCACAGCTGACATGCTCACATTCAGTGCTGGTCCTCACTAGTGAAATATAAAGAAGTCAAATTGTGTGTTTGTAGCATACAAATCAAAATATCTTCCACATAAAATAATAGTTCTCTGCTAATTTTGTGAAAGAAAAAAATAAATCAACCAAAAACCAAATCAAGCAGAAAACCAAACCCCACCACATCCCTCAAAAAACATAACAATTCCCCCCAAAAAACCCATCTGGGAAAACTTAAATGGGAGAAATAAATTAAGAAAAAGTGTTGGAAATGCTTTCAGAATTTTTATGATTAATTAACACAATACTTGCCATGGTTAGCCAGTGCTTTTATACATTATTAAGCTATTCGTTATTTTCTAGTATTTATACATATATATATATATTCACATGAAGTGGTGCTTAAAAGGGTTCCATAGTACATGTAGGCCCAAAACACATCCCTAAAAAAGGAGAAAGACTAATGAAGTGGACATACACTTTTCTGGATATTATTTTAACTGTAAGCTGCACTTGGTTAAGTTTCTTTATAAAGTACTGTCACATAAGTTCCTAGTATACAGTACACAGCATAAGAACAACAAGAGAATAAGAGGATTTAGTGCTACTCACTAATGGAAATAAAAGAAAATTAAACTATACGTTCTGCACCCATGCTTGGAAAAAATTAGTACGTCCAAAAGGTGGGTTATTTATACCCAAATTTGACAGGAAAAAAAAATTTATTGGCTGTAGGTAAAACAACACAGTAAGATAGGAAATATGTGTTATAAATCTGAAAGAGCAACAACAATAGGAAGAAAAAATTATGTTTCTTTTATGTCATCGGGTAGAAAAAGTGATGTGGCAAAGTTAGAAAGAAATTACATTCTGTGAAGCAGGAGAGAAGAGAGGGAAGTTCGGGAAAAAGGCTCGCAATGCTTTTCCCTTTTCGGGAGCGCGGCAACGGGACAGCGCGGCGCCCGCACACGCGGAGGGATCACGGAGGCGGCCGGGCCGGCCGAGCCCCGGGAGCCGGAGGGCAGGGACTGCAGACATCCCGGGAACCTGAGCCAGGACAGGGCGAGCCCGGAGCGACAGCACCGCGGGGACCTGCGGCAAATACAGAGACGGCTCCGGGGCCGCCACTGCCCGGAGGGGACGAGGCCGGGAAAAGCGACCCGGGGGAAGCGAGGAACTGCGGGGCTGCCAGCGAGACTGGGCGAGGGGGGCGGAGCGGGAGGCGGGGAAAGCAGCCGGGCCCGGGGCGGAGCAGAAAGGGGCGGGGCCTGAGCCCGGCCCCGCCCGCCGGGCCCGCCCCTGCTCCCAACCAGGTCGGACCAAACCCCATAAAGCCGCGGCGCGGGCGGCTCTGCCTCACACCGGCAGTGTCGGTAGCGGCGGCAGCGAGCGTGTAACCATGTCTGGCCGGGGCAAGGGCGGCAAGGGGCTTGGGAAAGGCGGCGCCAAGCGCCACCGCAAGGTGCTGCGCGACAACATCCAGGGCATCACCAAGCCGGCCATCCGTCGCCTGGCTCGGCGCGGCGGCGTCAAGCGCATCTCGGGGCTCATCTACGAGGAGACGCGCGGCGTGCTCAAGGTCTTCCTGGAGAACGTCATCCGCGACGCCGTCACCTACACGGAGCACGCCAAGAGGAAGACGGTCACGGCCATGGACGTGGTCTACGCCCTCAAGCGCCAGGGTCGCACTCTCTACGGCTTCGGCGGCTAAAGCATCGCTTTCCTTCCCGATCATGGCCATAAAATCACAAAGGCTCTTTTAAGAGCCACCCACCTATTCCTTAAAAAGAGCTGTATCGCTATATTTTGAGGTTGGTTTATTGGTATATTTGCCTCGGCTTCATTCCCCTTAACAAAGCATCTGCCTTCCGTCCCGTTTCTGTCCCGCTTCGGATAAGTTGGGCTGGGATGCTTTTCCTCAGCGACCTTTTGGGAAGGAAAACCACACAAAGCCCACAGAGGACAAAAGAGTTTATTACACTTCCCTAAGAAAATTTGAGCAAAGCGCTCTAGGCCTAAGTTCTGCACAACAAGGCGCCGCAGCATTCTTTTCCTTATTCCCCCTCGCCCGTAACGCAAAGGCAGCAGGAGAATCAAAGACAGCGCCCACAGTAGGGAGCCTCTTCCCGCTGCCGCCCCCGAGAGCCCCGGGCCGTGGCCAGGGCGGCTTTGGCGCCCGCGCCATTTCCAAAAGCGCGCGCGGGACGCGATTGGCTCCGGCACATCCCGCGCTCCCTCCGCCGCCATCGGCCCGGGACAGCGGCTCCCTGCGCGCCGGGAACAGGGATCCCACCCATCCCGTACCAACAGTGAACGCGCAGCCCGCCAGAACCGGCCCGGGGCTAAAGACAGCGAATACACGCCAAACCACAGACACACGCTGAGACAAACACAGCCGCCCTTCCCTTCCCCTGGCACCCGGGCCGCAGCATTTCAAGCTCTTTCTCGAGACTGTGGGTGGCTCTGAAAAGAGCCTTTGGGGTTCGCTTCTGGGCTCCGCACGCTTCCGCCGCCCGCTTTACTTGCTCTTGGCTTTGTGACTCTCCGTCTTCTTGGGCAGCAGCACGGCCTGGATGTTGGGCAGCACGCCGCCCTGCGCGATCGTCACCTTGCCCAGCAGCTTGTTGAGCTCCTCGTCGTTGCGGATGGCGAGCTGCAGGTGGCGGGGGATGATGCGCGTCTTCTTGTTGTCGCGGGCCGCGTTGCCCGCCAGCTCCAGGATCTCGGCCGTCAGGTACTCCAGCACGGCCGCCAGGTACACCGGCGCGCCCGCGCCCACGCGCTCCGCGTAGTTGCCCTTGCGCAGCAGCCGGTGCACGCGGCCCACGGGGAACTGCAGCCCGGCCCGCGACGAGCGCGACTTGGCCTTGGCCCGCGCCTTGCCGCCCTGCTTCCCGCGACCCGACATCTTCCCGCGCTCCTCGCTCGCTCCGCACACAAAGTCCCAACGACACCGACACACAGCGACACCGACACCGCCGCCCTCAGCCCTCCGCCTTTATATCCCCTCCCCGCGCGCCACCGCCGCCTCCTGATAGGCCGAGACCTCCACTCGGGCCAGGCGCTGCCCAATGGCGCAGCGAATCTCACGCTGACCAATCGCGACGGCCGCAGCGCCCCGAGGCTCCGCCTTCGCCCTCCGTCCGGCCAATGACCAGCCGCGGAGGGCGGGCCTCGGATCGCGGCCCCTCCCACGGGAGCCGCCGCTCCCGCCCGCTCCGGCGGGGCCGCGCTGCTCCGTCCCGCGCCGGGATCGCTCTCTGCCCTACGCTGGGCTGCTTCTAAAGCCGCCGGGCTGCACTGTGCGGATTGGAGGAGCCGGGGCGAGGACAGAAAGAGTAAAAGACAGACAGTGGGAGCGGTGTCCGTGAGGGGGAAAAGGGGGACGCTGGGGTCACGCACGCTCTGAAGGCAGTGACTTTCCCTTGGTTCCACGATGAGTATTTTCCCCGCGGTTTCAGACAATTTCAATACCGTTTCGATCCTTCTTTCGAGCTTAAAATACCTCATACACTTCCCGCAGCTGATAGTAACCCTCTCCTCTGTATCCCAAAATTTAAATATGTAAAGTGCAACGTAACACTACCTCTGTTGACTCCGTAATTTGTATACATCATTGTACCAAGTGGGTATAGTTGTGCCCTTACGAGTGTAATGCAAACCTTTGTGTAACAGCTCCTTTTATTGTGTTTGTGGTGGCTCTTAAAAGAGCCTTTGTGTTTAGATACTTTAAAAGCAGGTAGTAAACATCTCACAGGGCTTACGCGCGCTCTCCGCGGATGCGGCGGGCCAGCTGGATGTCCTTGGGCATGATGGTGACGCGCTTGGCGTGGATGGCGCACAGGTTGGTGTCCTCGAAGAGCCCCACCAGGTAGGCCTCGCTGGCCTCCTGCAGCGCCATGACGGCCGAGCTCTGGAAGCGCAGGTCAGTCTTGAAGTCCTGCGCGATCTCGCGCACCAGGCGCTGGAAGGGCAGCTTGCGGATCAGCAGCTCCGTGGACTTCTGGTAGCGCCGGATCTCGCGCAGCGCCACCGTGCCGGGCCGGTAGCGGTGCGGCTTCTTGACGCCGCCCGTGGCCGGCGCGCTCTTGCGGGCAGCCTTGGTGGCCAGCTGCTTGCGGGGCGCCTTGCCGCCCGTCGACTTCCGCGCCGTCTGCTTCGTGCGCGCCATCGCTGCCCCTGCAAGCAATCGAGCGCCGACTTACAGCAGCAATGAACGGCGCTCTGTGTCCGGGGAGTATTTATACCCCTGGCGCCTTCTCTGATAGGCAGACGAGTGAACGCTGCATTTGATTGGTTAATTCAAATTTTAAAATTCCCGCCCTTAGCCGATACCGCTTACGCTTTACAGGCTCTGTTCCTACTGAATACTCAGTGTTCGTGTAAATAGCTATAATTTGTACTATTTCAATTTGCGAAATGTTCAAGATTTGGTGTTGTTATTAACTGACAAAATTTATCTTGAATATTAAAGCACGCAAGCTTTAAAATTTTTTTACATTATACTATTTTGTAATTGTATCTTGCTTACTACTTCACTTTATCATCCTTGAAGCGTGAAAGTTTCCCTTCTATTTTTGTGGATATATTTGTGCAGAGTTGACAAGGACAAAAATTCCCCTGAAATTATTTGTAGTTTTATTTAAACACCTTAAATTGCCACAGGATTATGCAAAATAAAGTGGGTGAAATTAGTAGATGAAAATGTCTACTGGAAAAAGAAATTAAAAAGGATATTAAAGGAAGTCTTTTCAGCCCAAGAATGAAAAACAGTCAGAGCTTTCAGTTCTGACTGGTAATACACTGATAAGTAAATTTTAATAAGCAGATATGAAACAAGAAGGCATAGCAAGGAATCAAGGATTGTAAAGGAAGGTTTATATTTATTTTAAGTTTTCAGTTTAGAGCCTCTCTTTAAATGAGTTCCCGCTAAAAATGTAGGAGGGAATTGCTCCCTTCTCAGTGCGTGCGTGACCCCAGCGTCCCCCTTTTCCCCCTCACGGACACCGCTCCCACTGTCTGTCTTTTACTCTTTCTGTCTTCGCCCCGGCTCCTCCAATCCGCACAGTGCAGCCCGGCGGCTTTAGAAGCAGCCCAGCGTAGGGCAGAGAGCGATCCCGGCGCGGGACGGAGCAGCGCGGCCCCGCCGGAGCGGGCGGGAGCGGCGGCTCCCGTGGGAGGTGCCGCGATCCGAGGCCCGCCCTCCGCGGCTGGTCATTGGCCGGACGGAGGGCGAAGGCGGAGCCTCGGGGCGCTGCGGCCGTCGCGATTGGTCAGCGTGAGATTCGCTGCGCCATTGGGCAGCGCCTGGCCCGAGTGGAGGTCTCGGCCTATCAGGAGGCGGCGGTGGCGCGCGGGGAGGGGATATAAAGGCGGAGGGCTGAGGGCGGCGGTGTCGGTGTCGTTGTGTGTCGGTGTCGTTGGGACTTTGTGTGCGGAGCGAGCGAGGAGCGCGGGAAGATGTCGGGTCGCGGGAAGCAGGGCGGCAAGGCGCGGGCCAAGGCCAAGTCGCGCTCGTCGCGGGCCGGGCTGCAGTTCCCCGTGGGCCGCGTGCACCGGCTGCTGCGCAAGGGCAACTACGCGGAGCGCGTGGGCGCGGGCGCGCCGGTGTACCTGGCGGCCGTGCTGGAGTACCTGACGGCCGAGATCCTGGAGCTGGCGGGCAACGCGGCCCGCGACAACAAGAAGACGCGCATCATCCCCCGCCACCTGCAGCTCGCCATCCGCAACGACGAGGAGCTCAACAAGCTGCTGGGCAAGGTGACGATCGCGCAGGGCGGCGTGCTGCCCAACATCCAGGCCGTGCTGCTGCCCAAGAAGACGGAGAGTCACAAAGCCAAGAGCAAGTAAAGCGGGCGGCGGAAGCGTGCGGAGCCCAGAAGCGAACCCCAAAGGCTCTTTTCAGAGCCACCCACAGTCTCGAGAAAGAGCTTGAAATGCTGCGGCCCGGGTGCCAGGGGAAGGGAAGGGCGGCTGTGTTTGTCTCAGCGTGTGTCTGTGGTTTGGCGTGTATTCGCTGTCTTTAGCCCCGGGCCGGTTCTGGCGGGCTGCGCGTTCACTGTTGGTACGGGATGGGTGGGATCCCTGTTCCCGGCGCGCAGGGAGCCGCTGTCCCGGGCCGATGGCGGCGGAGGGAGCGCGGGATGTGCCGGAGCCAATCGCGTCCCGCGCGCGCTTTTGGAAATGGCGCGGGCGCCAAAGCCGCCCTGGCCACGGCCCGGGGCTCTCGGGGGCGGCAGCGGGAAGAGGCTCCCTACTGTGGGCGCTGTCTTTGATTCTCCTGCTGCCTTTGCGTTACGGGCGAGGGGGAATAAGGAAAAGAATGCTGCGGCGCCTTGTTGTGCAGAACTTAGGCCTAGAGCGCTTTGCTCAAATTTTCTTAGGGAAGTGTAATAAACTCTTTTGTCCTCTGTGGGCTTTGTGTGGTTTTCCTTCCCAAAAGGTCGCTGAGGAAAAGCATCCCAGCCCAACTTATCCGAAGCGGGACAGAAACGGGACGGAAGGCAGATGCTTTGTTAAGGGGAATGAAGCCGAGGCAAATATACCAATAAACCAACCTCAAAATATAGCGATACAGCTCTTTTTAAGGAATAGGTGGGTGGCTCTTAAAAGAGCCTTTGTGATTTTATGGCCATGATCGGGAAGGAAAGCGATGCTTTAGCCGCCGAAGCCGTAGAGAGTGCGACCCTGGCGCTTGAGGGCGTAGACCACGTCCATGGCCGTGACCGTCTTCCTCTTGGCGTGCTCCGTGTAGGTGACGGCGTCGCGGATGACGTTCTCCAGGAAGACCTTGAGCACGCCGCGCGTCTCCTCGTAGATGAGCCCCGAGATGCGCTTGACGCCGCCGCGCCGAGCCAGGCGACGGATGGCCGGCTTGGTGATGCCCTGGATGTTGTCGCGCAGCACCTTGCGGTGGCGCTTGGCGCCGCCTTTCCCAAGCCCCTTGCCGCCCTTGCCCCGGCCAGACATGGTTACACGCTCGCTGCCGCCGCTACCGACACTGCCGGTGTGAGGCAGAGCCGCCCGCGCCGCGGCTTTATGGGGTTTGGTCCGACCTGGTTGGGAGCAGGGGCGGGCCCGGCGGGCGGGGCCGGGCTCAGGCCCCGCCTCTTTCTGCTCCGCCCCGGGCCCGGCTGCTTTCCCCGCCTCCCGCCCCGCCCCGGCCTCGCCTCGCTCTCCGTTCCAGCCCCTCAGTCCCTCCGAACCGCTTTTCCCTGGTTTCCGCCCTGCAGTCGTGCCGATAACACAGAACCCGGTTTATTTTCCCCGGGACGTGGCGGTCGTTCGGACCCCGCACACGGTTTTTATGGCCCTGACCACATCTTTTCATAGCTGAGGTTCCGTTCAGGCACTCGATATATTGATAAACGTAAGGACTCTTCGGTCAGTTTCAGGAGCTTAGTTTAGTATTTGTCCTCTAAACCCTGAAGCATGAGGGGAATCATGCCTAAGTTTTCACGTTAGACCAGAAGTAAACGTTCGTTTTTCTCAAATCTGCCTATGTCTGACCCTCACAGTATTGTATCATTGGCGAATCTGCACAGGACTTTTCAGCAATGAAGTGAACACTCTTTATTTTCTATCCTCGTGTCTCCAGTGTTTCCTTCCCATTCACCGTTTATTTTCTCTTTTTATTGTTTTCTTCACATTACATTCCAATCATACTGGTGACATACAAAATGTAATATATGTCCATTAGGTAATTAACTGGATTCAAATTATTAACATATGTCAAATGCACAACAAAAATGGCTATGCCAGCCGTGTTCCTGTGTACCCCCATATTTTCAAAGGCCTGGCAAAATTCTGAGTGGGTGCCCATTCCTTCATGTAATATGTTTTCCGTTCAGAAGGGAATGTTGGAAATTATGACATTTCTCTTTGTTTTTTTGGTATAACTGCATGACTCTGAATATCTGTCATTATGAGTTTTCAATCCATGCCTCATTTCTGTTGGCTATGCCTGCAGTCCTCCATTTGCAGTTCAGGACCCACTGGCTCTATGCAATTAACATAATTCCAATATGGAAAATTTGCCTGAGCTCATATACAAATACACACACACATTACTCACACAGAGACAGAGGAAAGTCCTTGAAAATGAAGGGCTTGGAAAGATCTCTGAACTCTGGCAACCCTTTTTCTCATTGACTGTGGCTTTTTTTTCTGCCTTAATCACAGTGAATCTAGCAGGGTAAAAAATTATGGGGCCTAAAAATATAATGGTGAAGTAATTCTTTCACAGCATCTTTCAGCTCAGTTATTTTCCATAAGAATGTCTCAGCCTGGCCATGAAGACATATGATTCCTTTTAATCTCTTCTTTTATATGACTTGCCATTCTCTCTGTTTCACATGTGTTATCTTCATATTTGGAGCTACAGGGAAGGGTATTCAGTTCATTCTCTTTGCTGGTGGGCATTTTGTTCATTTCATGCATGTTTTCCACCAGCCTTTGATACCACAGACAGACACTGAGGACAGCTAACCACGTGTTAATGGAATTCTCCACAATGACAGGTGTTGAAGTGAAGGGAGACGACCCATCTTTGTTGATCAGCATCGAACTCCGTTTATTGATCTCCCTTATACACTTTTATAGTGGTGTTAATTAAGCTCATGCATATTCCAAAATCTGAGCTCATCATAGGTCACAGATTACACATTAACCCCTCCTTTTGTTTTCAATACCTGTGGTATGTTATTGAAACCAAGATTTGTGTTCTCACCCTGATATGAAAGGTTCTCAAAACCTCCATGTCTGTTCCCAAAACAGCCAAGGACAGAATGTTTACCTGTTATGAGAAGACTTGCCTGAGAACTTAGCTGTTTACAGAAACAGGCTGTGAGAATTTGCTCCTTACAGCTGCCTTTTAAACCATTTCTGAGCAAAATTCTCCAACAGACAGGGATGCAGTCCATGTAATATGCATGCCCATCACTCATCTGTCCATCAACCACTCCCACTCACCTGTTCCTCAACCTTCTGATTTGTAATGCTAAAGCAAATCCCAAAACATGAAAAATGCTTTGTCTAGAGAAAGTAAGTGCTACACACAAAGAAGAAAACTCCATTTGCTGCTCCCTGATTCACCTCTGTCCTAAGTAATCCCCTCTGACTCAATGAGTCTCCAGCCTACAAAGCACTAAAATCTAAAGGACCACTTTGATGAGATTATCAGCTATTGCTCCTACCCTCTTTATTTACTAGCCTCTGTCACAGTTGGGATATTGGTCCAGAAAGAAGTTTCCCGTTAATTACTCATTTCTTCAAGCATTATAATTATGTCTCCAGCATGCAATTCAAAGAGAGCAGAATCTCAAGGCTGTCCTGCTCAGAGCACCCATTAATTTCTCCCCACTCTTGGATCCCTGCTGATATTACTAACTTAAGAAACAAGTTCTACTACTGCACTGTGTATTCTTCTGACCTCTTCCAGACTTACAGCTCTTGTGTTCCCAATACTATCCTAACAGAGCTTGTGTGACCCTCAAGTTTGAAGGGACCATAACCAGATCCTGCTACCCAAGGGGGAAAAGAAACCAAACCCAAAAGACCCAAACAAAACCACAAACTAAAGCTAAGACCATTCACCATGTAGGGTCAACAAGCACATGTGGTAAAATGAAAATAATAAAAATCTAAACACAAACAGACTTGAAGATTAAGAACCCATCTTTACTTTCATTAGTGCCAAATGCAAACAAAATTCCTGTTTCATCCACTGGTGTGGCTGACAGTGATAACCCTTGAAAACCTTTCTATGCAGTCAAGCACATCAAGGCCTAAAGAATTGATAAAACCAGAACAGATAGCAATTTTCCCTCTATTTTGGTTTTGGTTCTATTTATTTTCTTTCTTTTCTTTTTTTTTTTTCCTAGCGAATTTTTTAACAAAAAGACCATGCCTTAGATTTGTCAATTAGCATTGGAATGACTCAAAAGTTCAACTTACTGATCACCGGCCCCTTCCTCAACAGCTTTGAGTAATTTCAGCTGTTAAGTTTCCTTGTACATGTCTCATTGCAGCGTGAGCAAACCCAAGCCCCAGCAGGTTTCTCTTCACTCACCACCTCCACAGAGCTGCGTGGCTGCTGCTCCCTGCTCCTGGCTGCTCAGTGCTGCCCTTCTGTGCAACTCTTGCTAACCACACAATTCAGTGTCAGGTGTTACAAACTACTAACCTCAAACAGAACACAAAAGTTAAAGTTTCCCTATTTCAAAACCAAGTCAACAAAATCTTGATGGCATTTGCAGTTCCAAAGCAAAAAAAAAAAAAAAACAACAAAAAAACAACAACAACAACAAAAAAAAAAAAAAAAAAAAAAAAAACAAAAAAAAACCCACCAAAGCCAGAAAGAGCAAGAATTAGTTTTAATACAGTCATTATGGAAGCCAATCTTTTCTGGGACTAAGGCAATTTGCAGGCAAAACAGATGAAATATATTCATCCTGAACGTGCCCAAACCATACATATATAGTCTCACACGCCTCTGAAGCCAGATTCCCGACTTCCTACCTGTATGACAGCAGAGGTGACAATTGCTGACCTCACTGATATATCAGGGGTAAATTCAGGCCCCAGCCAGCCCTTCCAGTGCCCCTGGCAACCTGCACAGCGTACTGACCTGAGATAGTGCTGCTCTAGCACCAGACCACGGGCTGCAAAGCATGTACTGCAAAAACATGAACTACAGCACAACACTTACACAGTGAACAGCCCTGCAAAACCTTTTTCTTCCCTTCTGTGGGAAAACAGCCGAAAGAACAGTGAGCTCCCAAATGCTAACTTGCAATACTCCTGCTCCAGAGAGATGGCACAACTTGTCTAGAGCCAGTACCTGCTTCACCTTCACACCTGTGGAGAGTAACAGGAAGGCAACACCACTTAAGGAGAGCACCTTTGCACGGTGAGTGACACAGGGCTCTGGCTCTTAGGCTACACTGTGCCTGGGTGCCACTCTCAGTGCCTCTGAGGCAAAAATGAGCTGCCTGCAATCCAAATTTACCTGGAAGCGTGTCACATCAGTGTCTGGGGTGTCAGCAGCCAGGAAGATGGCAGATTGCAGACCAGCTGTGCATGCATGATGTGTCCAAGGACACTTTGTCCCTCCATAGGTTCCAAACACGTTTCTGGCTGGAGTGGGAAGTGACATTTAGATTCACCACATTGCTCCCTCCCGTGTACCAGAAGTCACAGACAGCATTGTCACACAAGCAGGAAAGTGTGGAGGGCAGAAAATCCACAGAAGGGTATTTCTGCAGGGAGGAAGAGTGTGCAGCCCAGCATCCCTGTGTGTGAGCTGCTGACCAGTCTGAGCAGCCAGGATTCCGTGCTGTGGAGAGGCTGCTGTGGAAGGACAGCGTGGTGTCACCCTTCCTTGGGGGACTTCACCACTACATCCAGTTAAAGTGAGGCACTCTCCATGCAGGAGGAGACAATTTCCTTGGGGAGCCATTGATGATGCAGCTGCTGCTAATGCTGTTCACCTCTCAGGAACAGCTTGTCTAAGGGCCTGAGGTGTCCTCAGTCTCCCATTGATGATGATATTCAAACCATGCCAGGGTGGTCCACAACACAGTTTTTCAAGTGGCTTGGATTAGTTTTAGAAGACCAAATTACTCAGAGATAGAAATAATTCTATTATTTAATATGTGACTGTGGACCTCTTCATTGTGTGTGGAAAAAAAGTAAATATGCCTTAAACTAATAAACAGAGAGTAAAGAACAAAGTCCATTTTTTTCATCATTATCTGTTCTCAGAAAGGTTTTGGCCCCCTGTATTTATTTTGCTGACTTTTTTTTTTTATTTTGCTTTCCCAGGAAGGATTTCCTTTCCAGTGCCTCCTAACTATGGACAAATCCAGGTTTCACACTATAGATTTTAACTTGCCAAATTACATGTCATGCAATGAAGAAGGGAGGACACCACAGGTGCCCCAACCCTTAACCAAGGGTACAGGGAGGAG